TTTTTTTTTTGGGGGGGGGGGGGGTTTGTTCCTTATTTTATTAATAAGGTAAGCATAGACGAACCTGAGTTGTTAAAAAAACCAAACAAACAACAACACATCACAGAATTAAAAATCTTTGAAACAGTCCCAAATCATAGGAAGGAGAAAATTGTATGTTGCTTTAAAATTAGTAATAGTGGCTGGGTTTAGTGCTTTTACTTGAGGGTTTTTGTTGTTGTTTTTTACCCATTTCAAATATTATGGGATCAAAGTGGGATAAATGGTTTTAAAAACATAATGGAGTTATTCTTCTGAAGAATTACAAATCTATATTATATTGTTATACAGTTTATACAATAATCCATAATCTGGACAGAAACCTGTGTATAGAGCCTGCACAGCACCATCTCTCCTGAGACTTCTTTTTTCTATTTGTATTTGGGGGGAGAAAAATATCTTTTTGGGGATATGTAATTTTCAAGGGGTTACCTAGGTTAGAGGTTGAAACCTAAGGGCAAGTAAAAAGGTAACAGAGATTTCTGAACTTAAACTGAAAGATTGAACTGAGACTTCCTGGGAGGTAAGACTGGGCTGGCTGGTAATTGGAGAAAGACATGATGTTTGAGGGTCATTTGGATTTTGGAAGGAAACAGTGGAAGAGGACTTGTCAGTGTTGGAATGAGTGCATGTGTATGTGCCTGCATGCATGTGTGTGTGCATGCATGTGTACATGTGCCTACACACACAGGCTCCTTTGTATGATGCCTAATTATCATGCTGCTGCATAAGAAGTGGAGCCAGGATTTTATTAACTTACCTTTTTTTCAGCAATCTGAACAATGCTGTGAGCAGAGAAGACCGAATTGGTTGCAAGAAGATTCCAATTTTCCATTTTACCCATGACAATGTTTCCTTTTGAAAATAACATGAAGTTTTATCTTTCTTTTTTTATTTAGTCAGTCTTTGGTAGTCATGCTTAATTTCATTATTACCCAACATAGAGGTACTAAATAAAAGAAATTCAGGTAGCATGGTCTCTGGGGAAAGTCCCCACCTTTTTAGAGTCAGTATGATTTTGGTTCTAATCTTGATTAAACCACAGGTTATGGTGCTGTGTAGTGCAGGTTTTAAAGGGATGATGGTAGATCAAGTTAGTAAATTTACTGCAGTTACCACCACCTACAGTTCTATTCAAGACAAAACTATTAGAATTACGGATGCATAAAAAGACATTGACTGGAATTTGAAGTTGTTAGTTTGAGTTATCCAACCGTGTCCTCCTTATGTTAAAACCTAGACTCGATATGGCCAATGTGGAATATAAACTCTGAGGCAGTGACTGTCTTCTATTTTCTGTTTGTTCAGCGGTTCCTAGTACAGCGATTCTCAGTCTTTTTAGAGTTGAGGCTCCCCTTGGAAACTGCCAGCTCAGTCAAAAAGCAAGTGAAAAACCACAGAAAAGTAATAGGGCATTTTCTGTTGTCATAAACAAGTCAGAAAGAACATGGGCAGAATGTTTTTAACATTACAAACTCCTGTTTGAAATGTTTCTATCTTGTGAATCATGTTTGCATTGCATGGCACCTGATGGCACCTTTGAAAGGATCTCAAGGCATACCAAGGTGACTTTACACCCTGGTTGAGGATCACTGACCTGTTGTGTCTCATGCTAGGTGCTCTACTGCAGGGCAAGTAATTGTGTGGCCTTGGCCAGCCCTTTTCACCTGTTCTGCTTTCTGTTTCTGTCTAAAAGGAAGGCTAATGTTTTCTCTCCCAGACAGATGTTGAATAGATTACTTTCAATAAATTAAAAGCATTTAAACGGCACTTAGTATAGTGGTAAGTAGTATGTAGGCATCAAATGACTTCAAGTATGGTTATAGGTAGACTTGTGTATATCTATTAGTGATTTGGGGAACAAGTTCTTTCTTGGAAATGTGCTAGTTCATTTGCCATTTGGCTGTAAGTACTATAACCTTAGTTTACAATAACAGTGTATAGGTCTGAATAATCCAATTAGAACAATGTGTGGTAACTGTCCATGTGCCTGAAATTATCTTGCAGTAAGCAACAACTAAACTAGGGCTACTTTTCCTGGTTTCCTTCAGGGGTAAGCTGTCCTGAATTTGGTTTCACTTGCCATGAGATAATCTTGACACTTGAACATAAACTTGAAACTGCACATAAGCAGTTACTGCACATCAGCACAGTAATTTGCACCATATCAATTAAATTTGATGATTTACCCACAGTAAGTGTGTTGGAATAAAAACAGCAACTACTTATCACATGCCTGACAGTCATAGGAAAATGCTTGAAAACTGCCTGAAAGGGATATAGCCTGCATAATTTGGCGTTGTTTCTTTCACTGAGTTTATGCCATTTTTATGGTTGTAGAATGAAGAAAAATTCCCAATCCTGAATTCATCAGAACGTCAGGGTGTTTAGTTCTGATGATCGTAGAGTCATAGCTATTTATTCCAAGTGATTGTTTAAAGAAACGAGAACAAATCCGAGGAAGAAACAGATGCAACTAATAAGACTCATTTTCAAATTTACCAATAAACAATAGTAGAAATTAGCTCTTCTTGACCTGTATAGTAACTAGACACTCATGTGGTTTAGAGTCAGTATTTGGCTTGTTTTGTTTAGTAGACCAGTTCACCTCTTCATTTTTAAGCAGCCACCTATATCCACTCTAATGGCTCATGTAACATTTCATTGTGCCTATTCATATAGGACCTACTGACAACCTGCCTGAATCACACCAAAAATACTTTGTGCTTTCCTCCACTTCCCTTTGGATTTGTAATCTCAATCATTGTGCGGTTTACCCAGGGATATGACATCAATGAGGAAGCTGATGTACATGCAAGGACACAAATGGAAAATAACATTGTTGGTTTTCAACACTGTTAGCATTAGAAGCATTTGAGTTTAGTTGAAGAGAAGGGCGGGGAAGTGGTTAGTGAAAGAAATCTCATTTTGGAGCTTCTAACAGACTAGTAGTAAACAACAGAAAGGATATCTTATTTGTTAAAGAAAAACATTCTGAATGATCTAGTTGAGTGTCCTTCCAAACTGCACATTTTTAACACAAGTAGGCAAGCAGTACAAAGCAGACCGAAATGAGCTAAGATCTAATCTTGCTGTGGTCCCTATAGGTTAGGCACAACTTTATCTTTGACACTTAGGCAAGAAAGCTAATGTATTAGTTTTGTAATTAAGTCCTGTAAATTGTGCATAACAGAGCAATTAACTACTTTAGCCAAGCTTTGGAGGGGGAAGAAGCGGGGGGGGCGGGGGGAGGAAAGCTGCATGTATTGGGAATGAAAGCATGGAACATAGTCCTTAACTCAAACCTGAAAAACCTGGTGTTAGTCTTGGGTTATTTCCAATGACCCCTTGACTCCCATCTTCCTGCCCCCTGCACAGATTTGGAACTGGTCAGCCATTTTTGTTTTTGGAAGGGAGAGGAGACAGATATAATGAATGGCTTTTATTGTGTAATATTTCAAAACCTTTTGACTGCATTCGGATGGGATGGAAAATGTTCTACCCTGTGCCTCAGCCAAAACAAACAAAACATATTCCCTAAACCTGGATGTGTGTTTCACTCAAACTGGCAGTAGTTAGAGCTCTACTCTCAAACAAGAATTTAGTTTGACAATTTTTAGCCCTTGTTCAGCTGAATGTGACAGCCAAAGAAAATACTTGAAAAAATATTAAATAATATACATATTTACAGCTTGCAGGTGGCATTAATTTTTGCGGTTCAGTTTTTAGTTAAGGAACTCTGTTAGTTGGGCTGTATTTTATATATATTTTTAAGTAGTCTTAATTGTCTCTTTTTCCCTTTTTCTTTTCTTTTTCCCCCCTTCTTTTCTTTAGTTTGTCTTACCAGAATAATGATTTTGAAAGAAAATATATTTTATGTAGCTCCCAGATGGGTGATAAAAAGCTGAAATTCAAAGATTTAAAAGTTGAGGCTCTACCAAGAAACTAAAAAAATTTACAAACATTAGATCCAGCACAAACTATCACTAAAATCCCTTGACAGAAGCTTACCATGGACTAGCTTCCAACTCCATTTAAGACTAGTTTAAATACCCTCTTTATAATGTAGCTTTACTGCTGTTTTCTGGCATCACAGATCAATTTAGTGAAGAGCTTATACTGTACGACCTAGATAATTCATGTAGTGCAACATCGTGTTTTATAGCCTGAACAACTATATTTATTAATAATACTAACTTTTAATTTATAGGCGCCCATGCCCAAAAGCCTCTGGGTGCTGTAATAATGAAGAACTAAAACCATAAATTACCAAAATAGGCATCGTGCCCGACCGCCCAGAACAAAACCTTAAACCCCTGACATCCCACCCTCCAAGCAAAAATCCCTTTGAACAAATAAAATATAGAACTCCATCTAAATGTTTTTGTTAACAAAATGAAACTGTTAGACAAATGAACCTGATGTCATTTAATTATCCTGTAGGTAAGTAAGGCATATA